AAATACTGGTAGTACCAAAATCAATCGAGCCGCCGCGGGCCCACAGGAGGGCTCGGAGCCGCGGCACCGGTCCGCGCCGCCAGCGGGGCGAGAGCACCAGCCTAGATCTACAACCTGCCGACATGGCAGTTGCGACGGCGCTTTCACAGCACACACACACTGGGTGGGAATGCGATATACTCTGGGCAGGAACCTCTGTGCTGAAGGTTTTTCAGCACCTTCCGCTCCCTCTCGCGCTCGCCCCGCCGCACCACGCCACCAATGGGCGCCGCGAGCTGCACGCCCAGTACCCCCGCGACGCCTGCTGCCCGCCTTCCCGCCTGCCTCCACCCTTCTCCCTCGCGCAGGCCCGCGTCGCCATCTCCGGAAGCCGGCAGCCCACTTCACCGTCGCCTCCTCGGTCGCTGCCGCTTTTCCCTCGCAGTACGAGGTCGGCGTACCGTCTGCGCGCACCTGCTCGAAGGCCTACAACCGCACCGCGGCGGCTTGTCGCAGGCGACCACCGAGTGCTACACGGACATCGCGGACGAGAGTGCGGTGCGCCGCTGCGTTACCGCCCCGTGGGTGCCTCCCATTCAAGCACTTGAATGACGCACCGGCTCCCCGGCGGCACAGGGCGTTCGCGCGGTCACTGTCACGTCTCGGCCCGTCCTCGACATCGACCCGACCGCCCTCATCGCCGCTCCAGTCGACGCGGCGTTCGACCCGGCCATGTGTGCGCGAGAAGCCCTACGCGGCGCTCTTCGGGCTCGTCCCCGCATCGAGGACGGGCTCTCAGCTCTCATGAAGGGCGGCGGGCCGTGTCCGGAGAAGGTGCCGGCCGCGGCGCCCTCGCCCCTCCCTCCCCCCCCCCTTTCCCCCCTCCAGATCGTCCCCCCCCCTCCGCCCGCCCGCACTTCCCGCCTGCCTCCACCCTTCTCCTCGCCCTCGCGCAGGCCCGCGTCGCCATCTCCAGGCATGCCGACAGCCCACTTCACCGTCGCCTCCTCGGTCGCTGCCGCTTCCCTCGCAGTACGAGGTCGGCGTACCGTCTGCGCGTACCTGCTCGAAGGCCTACAACCGCACCGCGGCGGCTTGTCGCAGGCGACCACCGAGTGCTACACGGACATCGCGGACGAGAGTGCGGTGCGCCGCTGCGTTACCGCCCCGTGGGTGCCTCCCATTCAAGCACTTCAATGACGCACCGGCTCCCCGGCGGCACAGGGCGTTCGCGCGGTCACTGTCACGTCTCGGCCCGTCCTCGACATCGACCCGACCGCCCTCATCGCCGCTCCAGTCGACGCGGCGTTCGACCCGGCCATGTGTGCGCGAGAAGCCCTACGCGGCGCTCTTCGGGCTCGTCCCCGCATCGAGGACGGGCTCTCAGCTCTCATGAAGGGCGGCGGGCCGTACGCGCAGGTTCTACTTCTTCGTCGGCATCGCCATCGTCTGCGACGACTTCTACGCCGAGGCGATCGATGAGGTCGAGGTGCTCAAGAGGTGCCCGAGGACGTCGCCGGCGCGCCCTTCATGGCGGTCGGGTCGTCGGCGGCCAACTTCTTCCCGGTGATTCGCCCCCCTCGTGACCGAGTCGGACGAGGGCGTCGGCGACATTGTCGCCGCGCCGCCGTCTTCAACTGGATGACCATCGTCGGCCGGACTGGCGTCTTTGCCGGGGACAGGCGATCGCCTTCCAACGCCCCGTGCATCCCACACCCCTCCCACCCCTTTCCCCCCCCCCCCCCACCACAACCTCCTCCTTCCTTCAAGTAGGGGG